CTCAACTGGAACTTTTTATTACAATTTCTCTATCTTCCTCCAATCTATAGCTGATTGAACTCAGTGATGTCAAAACATTTTATATTCATTTATCTAATGATCTTAAAAATATGAAACACTGCCATTTCCTATGAACTTGCATTGGGTCTGGCCATAAATATGTATTAATGTAGAATAATATATTTGCAAGCTCCTGGAAAATTTACTTCCTTGCTTTTTTTAAAAAAAAATTATTTATTTAATTTTTTTATTGTTATAATTTTTAATTTGCTTACGGGCACGTATACTGACCAGAGAGAGACAGAGAGACAGAGAGAAAGAGGGAAAGTGAGAAAGCAAGCCGCCAGGTCTGGAACTCAGACCACAATCAGTATGTGGGAGGGTAGGACCTTAACCACCACACCACCTATTGACCCCACTTCCTTGGTTTATTATTATTTATACTGGACACATTTACTCAGAGATGGGACCAGCAGTTAGCATAATGGCTATGTCACTGAACTCCCATGTAGTCGACCGCAGTTTGTGTCCATACCTGGTGGCTTAAACTTACGCTGGGCGCATGTGCATGCGTGCCCAAGATCCCGAGAGGAGAATGGAGGACAAGGGATTGTGGCATGGTCATCCCCCCTGGGGGGTGATTTCTCGCTTTCTGTCTCTCTGTCTCTCTCTCTCTGGCAAGCGCACACGCCCTATAGCAAAAACCTCTTAAAAAAAAAAAATAAAAGATTTTCCTAGAGATACTTCTTATTTATTACTTGACTTGGGAATCACTTAACTGGGGATGCTTTCTTTTTTTTAGAGTGAGAGATATTTGCTATAGGGCACATGCCCTCTCTGGAGAAACAGAGAGACAGAAAGTGAGAAGTTGCCCCGCAGGAAGAATTGCCATGCTGCAATCCCTTCTCCTCCATTCTCCTTTGGGGATCTTGGGCACATTCTCTTTTGGGGATCTTGGGCACACACGCATTAGCACCCAGTATGAGTTTCAAGTTACCAGTGTGGGACTCAAACCTCAGTTGACTACGTGGGAGACCAGCAATGTAATCATCATGCTATCTGCTGGTCCAAAGAATGTGCATCCTTTTCATTGTTCTCCCAGCACTTTGTTCTTTTCTTAGATTTTTTTTTTTTTTTTTTGCAATGTGACTAGTGTAATAATTATTTTTCTATAGTTTACCTCCCCACTGCTTGTATGTTCCCTAAGAACAGAGGGAATATCTTTTAATTATTGTATCTCCTGAAGTGACTAGTAATTTTTGGTATATAATAGATACTTTACAATTAACTTCAATTCAGTTCCTACCACTGTTTATTATAGTGCATGCTGGTATTTCCTGCTCACTTACGGCTTCACTCCAATTCCTGAATTCAGAAGTATATTCGACTGTTGAAAAGAGATACCAAGCGAGGGTAAAGATAAGAGCAGAGTGAGTTGTTTACCCCACCACTACTTAGAGAACTGATACAGAAGAACCAACAAAGCCTCCCATGAACATGCTTTAATATCATGGTAGTTGATTTATTTCTTCTTCTGAACATAAACAGTAAAGACAGGCAAATCTGAATGTTCTTATGGGGATAGATTATTTGAAAATAAGGATATTTTTTAAAAAATGTTGGATCTGTAGTCACAAAGTTCAAGGCATTTGCATGCAAATTCTTCTTTTTATCCTGTATACATACACATAGAAAGTCTAAGTCTCAAAGATTTTTCTGAAATCTGATTAATATAAACTTCATTAGGTAACTATAAGGTATCTGTTGCTTTTTTATAATATAAGCAGTCTGTAGCCAAAAGCATTCTGATGAATGTTGGTTACCTGCATAATTCTCATCTAAAAATGGTAAAGTAGTATTAGAATTTCTAGATTGTCGACAAAATGTTTTTATTTCAGAGGTTATTGAAATAAAATTCTAGCTATTTTTGCAAGTTTAAAAAAATCTTCTAGTTATAAAGAAAAGAAAAAATACATAAACATATTTCACTATAGCATGTAAGCAATAGCATCAATTACATGATTTAAAAGTCTCTGTAGCAATATAATCAAATTCTGTTAACACCTTTGAGGAAAATATATAATGAAGGTAGAATTAAAACTCCCAATTTGTTTGAATAATGTGTAAAAATATCATAAAACATATATATCATAAAACAGACAGAAAAATAGCATAAGAATTAAGCATGCCAAATAAAATAGTGTTTACTTTTCAGGTTTAAATACCTGAAATGATATTAGACTCTTACTGTGGTCTACTTTAATTTTATAAAATACAATCTTGAGAGGTAGACTAATCAAGAGAATTATTTTTAAAAAATTGTTATCTATTTTTTTCAACTTAAAACACAATATAAAACTTGTAGGGATCAGGGAGAAAGTAGTCATTTTAAAGCTGCTTACCCCGACTTAGGTCTGGTTTAAGAAACGGAACATTTCTTTGATTTTTAATTGTTCCTGCATTAACTTGTGAATGCGACCACATGACGATAGTTTATGCTATTATGTTGTCAGGCTTCTGATAATGGGAAGGAATGTTTGTTTAGACTGTGTAGCTCTTCACTTTAATTCACTCTGGCTCCAGGGTGACATGTTAAAATGCTATCAATGGAAAAATCCAAATTTCCCAGAAAGACTTAAAACAACAGCAACCCCTGTGAACCAAAATTATCTCCTGTTGAGGCTAATTACCTTCTCCTCTCAGGGAAGGACTGCGGTAGGAAATCCGTTTTCTTGGAGTCTCTTCTCCTTCGTAAAGTGCTTCGGGTTGATATGGAGTCATGTATTCGCTGATGATGTTATTATATCTTTCAGTATTGGAAGAGATGTGAGGAGAAACACACACACACAAGCTTAAGTGAAAGGTTGTGCCATAAACAAACATATTCTATAAGGTTCATACCTTCCTCACGATTATAAAGACTGGTCTTAGAGAAATTACTCCTGCTGGGTGTGGTTTTATTTCAGTTTGTTTGTTTGTTTGTTTGTTTTGGAGAGGTTTTTGCTATAGGGCACATGCACTTGCCAGAAAGACAGAGAGGCAGAAAGTGAGAAATCACCCACCCACCCCCGGGGGGGATGGCCACACCACAATCCCTTCTACTCCATTCTCTTCTTGGGATCCTGGGCACGCACGCACATGAGCCCAGCGTGAGTTCAAGCCACCGGATCCAGGACTCGAACCACAGTCGACTACATGGGAATCCAGTGACATAGCTATCACGCCAACTGCTGGTCCCTTCTTTATTTATTTATTTATTTATTTATTTATTTATTTATTTCACAAGAGACAGACAGAAAGAGACAGCACCGTCAAAAGGGTCCTAATGCCACAATACCCCCCACCCCCTAGTCTCAGGCAGCCCCAGATTATGGACACACACATGCCCAGCATACTAAGAGAGATCTCAGAGGCAGACCTAGAACATTTCCATGTGGATCAGCCTGGCAGAGTGTTGTATTTTACTGCAGTGCCACTGTCAGACCCTCCAGGGTGTGAATTTTTAAAAGGAAAATAGGAAAGCTTGAGCTATTAAAAAATATATTATTACTAAATCGCAATATATTAATTTGGAAACATACATACAGAAAATATGTAAGTTTTCCTTTTAAAAATGTATCAATACATATGGAAAATTTTTATGGTATGACTTTATCATTGCTTATACTCCATGTTAATGCTATGTGTCTGCTGCTATCTGCTATTTGTGGCATATAACTGATATAATAAAAGTAAAAACTAATTAAAATAATCATCTGTTATAGTAAAAAGGAGCAACATTCTGACAATATTTAGCATTTAAAAAGAAATTCACTAGAGAGTGCATGTAATCACAGAAGAGAGAAAGCCACAGAGCACCTCCCATGGGGCATGACCACACCGTAATACTTACTCTTCCATTTCTCCCTTCTGTCTGGATTTTGGTCATGCAGGTCCATTCACCAATGTGTGTTTTGTTTTGTGATGGGGTTTTTTTGAGAGTTTTTTTGGTATAGGGCATGTGTGCTCACCAAAAAGAGAGAGACAGAGAAAGCAAGAAATCACCCCCCAGGTGGGATGGCCATGCCACAATCCTTCTTCTCCATTCTCCTCTTGGGATCCTGGGCACACACGCACATGCCCTTGGCATGAGTTTAAGCCACTGGGTCTAGGACTCAAACCACGGTCAACTACATGGGAGTCCGGCGACACAGCTATTACTCCAACTGCCGGTCCCTCACCAATGTGTTTTTCAAACCAGTGGGTCTGGAACTCAAACCACACAGTCAGCTATGTGTGATCCAGCTGCCTTGACCATCAAACCACAAATTGGCCCCTTGTCAGGCATTTCTAACACTAAATTGAAATGTCTCTAATAAATTAATGAGAATGATATGTCTTTAACAGACATTCTATGTAGGAATATGAGATATTACATACAACCAAATACATAAGTGAAAGCAATCACTCGCTATCAAAAGGAGAGTCAGCTTGAGGGGTGAAGTTCCCATATTGTCCACCATATCTCTTTCACTTTTATCCCTTGAATATGGACAGGAACCCAAAGATCGTACAGTAAGTCCGAACTCTGTCTCATTGTAGGCTGTAGCCAAGTGATCTGGACTCATTGTTCTATGCTCCACCCCAGTCACCAGTGTTCAGGAAGTTACTCTCATGCTTTCATGTGGGATTTCTATTACAATAATACTTGCAAAACGTATCCCTCTAGGACTTCATGAGAGGAGGTTAATTTATCTCAGAATTGCAAATAGTGGGATTTGGTGTTCATTGGTCCACATGTCTTGACTGTATGAAGTAAGTTCAAAAGTAATGTTTGTCTTTTTTTCCTTACATCCTTGGCTAGAGGACCAGCTGTCTAAGGAACACCTCCCTGCATACACTGTTGCATAAAACTTTCCCCCAAACATATCGGTTTAAAACAATAAACATTTATGGAACTACCAGTTTCTGTAAATCAAAATTCTAATTACCTTGATGTTCTGATTTATATTCTTTGTCAGGATTTCTTATGAGATTGTAGTCAAATATCAACGGAGGCTGCAATCATCCAGAGGCTTGACTGGGCCTGGAGAATCTGTTTTCAAGGAAGTTCAAGTAAGTTTGTGCCCAAAATCCTAAGAGGAAAATGAAGAGGAGGGATTGTGCCCTATGACAAAGACCTAAAAAAAAAAGAGATAAAGAAAGGAACCCACAAATGAAACTTGCCAAAGTCCAATAGAGAATTATGTAAAAGCAAAATTTACAAACACATCTGTTTTTGTTACAAATATCCCAAATCCCAGAATTCTGCTAGGCACACAGTAGGCACTGAAAACATGTCAAATTAAGAAAAGAAAGAAATATCCATGTAAATAATCATAAAAATTAAGTTGTGTAAAATAGATGCAAAATTTTAAAATCTTCTTTAAAACCAGATAAGTGGGAGAAGTGGGAGTCTTTGTGTCAGTCAATAGATGAATTGAAAGGAATATAAACTAGTTCCTAAGATGATCACAATTCAAGTCTTATCCTGTGACTATCAAGAAATTTAAATTTAATCTCATGATTTTTAGATAATCAGTAGGGTATACCGTATTTGATTCATATGTGTAAAGTTTTTTTTTTTTTAAAGGAGAGATTAAAATAGATGCACTTCATTGGAGGTCCAAAATAATTAGATTTTCTAAAGCAAAGGAGATGCCTCTCCTTACCACCTATTTACAGGGGAGTTAGAAATACCTTGAGATTTCCTTGTGAAAATGTTTAAAGCCCTAGGCTGTGAATTGATGGGGTGTGGTGGTACAGAAGAAAAGACATGTGTGGATGAATTATGAGGCTTTCCCAGCCCAAGTACCCCTGATTAAGAGTTTATGATCTGCCCACCAAGTGGCCAGATAGTGTCTCTATGACCTTCACCACACACTTGGTTATTGGCGTTTTGACACCTTTTTCGCACAGCGGGGGGTTTGACACCTTTTGCGCACAGCGGGGTGCATTCCTGACACTATCAATGTAATATCCCTGTTTCAGATCACAAACATTACTCATTAACCTCAGGGCAGAAATCTAACATAATCAAATATCCTTTTGCCACCTAATTCAAATCCACGGGGGACTGGATAGATGGGAAAACATAATGTAAACAATACACAGGGACATGCTCAAGGATTTTTTGTAAGGCTTTTTCTGTTTCCAGAGTCTACACCCTGTCACCATGTCCAGGTTATTCATTATTTTGTGAAGAATGTGTTAAAAAGTTCAAAAATATGGATAATGTCATCTAAATGAATTTTACTCTGTAGCACAGTGATCGTCCTACTCTTTTTTGATAAGAAATTACTCATGATTTTAAACATGGCAGAGAAAAGGTTTTAAGAATTGACTATGCCTTTTTCATTTCCTCTTTCCGACCTCCTAGAAGTTACTTCTTGCAATCAGTTCAAAAGATTAGTTGTCTTTCTGCTTTGGTCACATCATTTTTTCCAACTAAACCCTGTATCTTCTATTTTTGTATTTTTCAATTAACTAGATTTTATAATAATTACTGAAAAGTTTAGGAGAGCTGAGGCTGTCCTTAACTTGCCTAATCAGGACTAGAACCAGGATGCATTATTCACTTCATCCTATTCCCTGCCCTGTGATAACTAGATGCTAATTATATCTCTAGGAAGCAAAACTGTACATATTTTGAAAGACAAAGTAATGAGAATTATTAATAATAAGTATTTAAATTCTAAAACAGTATCATATTTGTTGTCTCAAATGATGTCTCCTTTTTTAAAATCAAATAAGATGGAAAAAAGAATTTTTTAAAAAAATTATAATTTCTGGGACCAGCAGTTAGCGTAATGGCTATGTCGCTGGACTCCCATGTAGTTGACCGCAGTTCAAGTCCCAGACCCAGTGACTTAAAACTCACGCTGGGCGCATGTACGTGTGTGCCCAAGATCCCAAGAGGAGAATGGAGAAGAAGGGATTGCGGCATGGCCATCCCCCATAGGGGGTGGTTCTCACTTTCTGTCTCTCTGTCTCTCTCTGTCTGTCTGGTGAGCACGTGCGCCCTATAGCAAAAACCTCTCCTATATATATATGTTTGTTTTTGTTTAAGTCCCAGACCTGGTAGCTTGAGAATAACATCAGGCACATGTGCATTCATGCCCGAAATCCAAAAAAAGAGAATGAATTATGGCTTGGATCTCCCAGGGGGTCACCACTTCCTTACTCTCTCTCTCTTTCTCTCTCTCTCAACCCACTGAGTGCACACACCCCATAGCAAAAACAAACAAAAACAAAAGTGAAAAAAAATCTGATTTACGTGTAATCATTGTACATCTTTGTATGGTACAATTGTCTTTTTCAAAGCATGCATACAGCGTGTGACCATCAAATCAAGGATATTAATATATTCATCATTTCCAGGAAAGAATATTTCATTATCTTGTGCCCTTTCAACCTTTTAGCAAGGCTTATCACTCACCAATTTCATTATCGAACTTAGCTTTGACAGAAGAGTTGGCATCTTATTCTGAACATAGCTCTTTACTTCTTGAATCATGTTTGAAAAGCAACCTTTATAATGCAAATACTTCTATTACAGATAGAGAACTATTCTTTTTCACATACAGAGAAGATAGAGAGAAAGATCATGTTGTGTTCCTAGTGTAAAAACAATTTTTTATGTCAAAATTTCACTTATGAAACCTGTATCTTGGGACCAGCAGATGACATAATGGTTACATCACTAGACTCCCATATAGTCAACTGTGGTTCAAGTCTCGGACCCGGCAGCTTAAAATCACACCAGGCGCTTGTGTGTGCATTCCCAAAGTCCCAAGAGGAAAATGGAGAAGGAATTGCAGCAAGGCTACCCCACCCCAGAGGGGTGTGATTTCTCACTTTATCTCTGTCTCTCCAACAAGCACATGCACCCCATACCAAAAACTCTCTCTAAAGAAAAAAATAATGAGAGATCTCATTTGGGGGGCTATTCACAGATAGCATTTATTCTGTTCATTTTATATTATCATAATAAGATTGCTTAAATGTTGCTGAGTCACAGTGAATAACAGTTCAGTCTTTTTACTAATGAGACATAAGATGTGACAGCTATAGTGGCAAGATGACAACAATTATTCTCTTCCAAGAGAATGAGCAGAAGAACAAGGAGGAAGGTAAAGCCAAGGAAATCTGGGCAGCAGTTGAAAAGCCAGATGCATTCCACATTCTCTGTCTAGTTCCTTGCTACGTGTTTCACTCTGGCTTTTATGGAATCATCTTGCCGTTATCCAAAGCTGGTCCAATGAAAGGACTGTTAGTTGATAACTCATCCACCTTCTCAGAGCCACCAAAGTCCAATGGAACTACTTAGAGTCAATCAGTTCATTTCTGAGTTGGGACCTAGAGCAACCCAAGAATACTGACTATCAAGACCTCCCTCTGCTGGATTACAAGCAGCCACCAATTTTTTTTTTTAATGTGGTCATGGTTCAGAGTGATACAGGGCAGTCTAAAGTCAATCTTTTCCTAGACATTTGAATTGAAAACAGGGAATAAAATAATCTTTCAATGTGTCTCCATTCAGGTCTCTTGGGAGACCTGTTATAGACAAAATAAGTTTTTTTTTTTTCTATTCATCTAAATCATAATACGGATAAACTTGTCTAAGACTGTAGTGTGAGTAAATCCACTTCAAAGTAACTTAGCTAGTTTCTGGTCTGAGTCCAGAACACAATGAGATTTTTCTCTAAAATTAATCCTGATTCTCAGACAGATACCAGGTGGCTCACACATTCTTAGAGTCAATTAACTTTTTCATGCTGCTGTCCATGGTACTTCTCTTCACTCAACCACTTGTCAGTCATGACGGTTTGCTAATGTTACCAGTCAACCAGTCAACACTCACCTGGTGAGTGACACTGTCTCCATGTCAAGCCCAGTGCAGGAACTGTGGTTGCAAATGCCATACCTAGCTCTCAAGACCATTCCTACAGCAAGATTAATATAGCTAAGGTAGATTACCAGGCTTTCTTATGCCTTTGCAGCTTGTTATTAAAGTCCTTGTATGCTTCACAGTTGAGTTCTTTCTCCTTTATTATGGCATAATTTATTTTTCCAAACTCATAGAAGGGCAATTTCATTTTATTAGTTTCCTAACACCACTCACTCAAGGGGACTTCTCACAAACTTTTTCAAGACTTAGCTGGAAGACATTTGAGTGTAACCTAAAAGCATTTACCTAAAAGTTTAGTGCATTCCGTCTTCAACTCAATTTGCAGCCTATGATAAATCTAAGCCAATTGATTATTTATTTCTGACTGAGGTTTTTTTTCTGTCTTATATACTCCTTCTTTAATGTTTCTTGTCTTAATATGTGTATTCTGGATTTTTATTATTACTTCCAAAAATCCTCTTTGATAATGCATTTAGTAGACTCACATATAATGAACCCTTGTTTCTTCCACCAGGTTTTAAAGCACTTGTTCTATGTCAAACAGTGTACTAGATATTTGGGATTTCATCTTTAACCTGAGGACTTCATTGGCCTGAATTAGAATCAAATATATAACACTAGAACTCCCAAAGTACTTTATATCCACACAAAATTAATGCCAGAAGTACAAATGAATTTTTTTTTTGAGAGAGGCTTTTGCTATAGGGTACATGTACTTGTCAGGAGACAGAGAGTTGGAAAGCATGATATCACCCTCCCGCCCCCAAGTGGGGATGGCCATGCTGCAATCCATTCTCCTGCATTCTCCTCTCAGGATTTTGGGTATGCACACACACACACACACACACACACACACACACACCACATGTGTTTCAAGTCATCAAGTCCAGGATTCAAACCAGGGTCGACTACATGAGAGTCCAGTGATGTAACCATTACACAATCTGCTGGTTCTCAAGAATGAATTCTTAATCTAGTAGACACAGGATATCTTTGGTTAAATCTGCCAGTTTTGTTTCCTTTACAGTAATTAGTTCAAATGTCTTACTAGTTCTGCACAAAACTGTTAACAATTTACCAAACTTTTATTATTTAAGCTAAAGCTAAAGTTAGTGATCTAAGCATACCTGAAATGTCTCCTATTTATATTCAGTCCATGTTAAGA